CAAAACTAGTTTAAACTTAGGCCTACTTTGGCAAATGACCATGGAAAAATCAGGATAATCAAGGTCATATGGTCCTTCGCCTCAACATTGTACTTTAAAATTCTTTTAACGCACGACAAGCCATTGATTATCCCTTACATAAATAACACTTCCATATTTATATTATTATACTAAACCAAAGTTGTGCTTGTAACATTAGTTAAAGTGTGAGTTAACAATGCACAACTTTATTTTCATTAACATTAACCAAGATTAATAATTACTTCAATGTGTTATTCATTGTTTGTACTAGTAATTAACATTAATGTAACCTTAATGTAAAATTAAACCTTATTTATTACGCTCCTTTGTGCAAGATGTAAATTCTCTGATGTCCCTAGATTGTTTTTGTGAAGTTTCAGCTCAAAATACCCCAGGAATTTTTTTTTATAACTCTTTGAAACTGCCCTTTTTAGGCTTTAATCGTAATTGTGCCACTTTGGTGATTGAAGCTTTGAATTCAAATGAGATTGTGCTCCCAGCCCTCATTTTAAAAGAGGGTGGAGTTACAAATGCCTGTATGTCAGCATAGTAGCAGATTTAAAAACAAGACTTATACAAATGAGGGAGAGATCAGCACTAATGAGCGGGGCTTTCCCGCTCTGATGACATACAAAGGGAGAATGTCAATCAAAGTGTCTCTGTTTTTATTATGTGTGATAATAAAAAATAAAATTAATAAAATTATACCATTTGAAGCTGCTTATATTCACAGACTGTTCCCACACAACTGTTTAAACCCCTTATAAAAGCAATTTTTGCGTTAAAAGTCCCCTTTGAATGAACTTTCACTGCTATGAAATGCCAATCAGTGGTAAAAACAACTTTCCAAGTTTAAGATGATGTCCAAATTACTATTAAACTAAATTAGGCTGCATCTAAAGAACATTGTTCCATATGAATTGTGCGCCATTCTTTTCTTCCTTCTCATACATTTCCCCATCTGTCTTATTAGTTGGAATTTGATTAATAAACCCAAGATGAGTTTCAGTCACACAAGGACTCGGTTGCTAAGTGTTACACGTGTGCATGTGTTTGCCAGTAAAGGAGGGGTCATCGAGACTGGTCTTCAGCACAGCAGGCCTGCGGGGATGCGCAGACAAAACACAATTAAAACAGCTCCCCCTCCTGCCTATGAAGCACTGGAAGCGGCACAGATCAGTACAGTTATTACACACAAGCTAATCCATCAATGTCTGGAGGAATTCCCTCACAATCTAGACAGGACAAAGCGCTGGAAGGCAACCGAGCGATTGCTAATTGCTGATCTGAGACCGGTGTGTTTGGCGCCGAATGTCATTTATAACATCAGCTGAAAATAAGAACGTAAATTTAATGCACTTCTTTTTATCATAATAGCGATCTTTAATTTAAACAGTGAAAATGGTATTGCCAAACGACACCGCATCAGTGGAACGTTATTGAAATGGGGGTGATTACGTTTTGGATCACACAGTAAACAGCTGTGACCAACTAAACATTAAAAGTGCAATCTCTACCACGACTTGGCTTATTCCGTAACAATTTTACATATTAATGCAAACATGTAATGGTATTCAAATTCATATTGTGTGATTGTTATGACTTTGTGAGGCCTATTTCTTATCGAAACCACAATGGCGCAGCTGCTCATAGACTTGCGCATGAATTATTAAAGCGCCAATTTCTTCTGTCAGGATAATAAATAAATGAATGGATAAAAGTGTGATGGTGACAAACAGAACATTAAATGGGTATTTGCATGCTTAATGTTCCTCCGAACGATTTAGTCCATCTATAATTCACAGGAATGTCCTGCACTCTTCTTTTCTGGTGACTCCCCAGTAGCATTAAGCGCTCGGGCTTGTTGATGAAGTACCACGTTTCATTCAGATAGCTGTATAAATGATGTTTCATGAACAAACTGATTCTACGCTTGCGTAAATACCTAGAAGACCATTTTCAGTCCCAGTGGAGTGGAACCACAATTACCAAATGTCACAGTTATAGCCTACAGTGTGGTCCATATGCATGAGTGAAAGGGCATCTGTTTAGGCATCTTTTTTATCATTACAAGTATCTGATGAATAGTTTAATAGTGTACTGTAATAATGAGTAAATCTGAGCAACACCTATTATTTCAGTTTTTTTTAACATGAAGTAACCATTTTAGTTTTATGAAGTTTAACCCTCACGGAACCGGTGCATATTACAGATGAACATTAAATTCAACAAAAATAAAGTCTGCTGTTTGTGATACTAGACTTTTGTTATACAATCAAATGGCTTGTAGTTTGCTTTGAAGAGGAGCATGGCAACGTGCTATAAACAGAGAAATAAGCAACATTTTTTGTGTTTTTTATTTTTTTTTAGTATAGATATGCTTGCCAATTTTCATAGATTAATTAGAAAAAGGTTTGCATTTGCTTATTAATAAAAATCGATTATAGAATTGCAAGCTTTAAATTAGAATTTAAAAAAAATATGTCTGTTCATATTTATGTAATAAGAGCTCTAAAAATGTGCTGGTTATAAAATAAACACCCTCAAAATTAATGTTTAAAAGTTATATAAATGTATAACAATTCTGTCTGGTTCTCGAATCTGATTGGCTGATAGCTGTGTGATAGTCTGCAATGACAGCATTCGTTCATCCTCCTCACCTTTCTGTATTACTCCTTCCACATAGAGTGACAACTGTAAACTCACTACAGTTTGACAACTATTGCAGCTGTTGGACAACATAATATATTTTAGAGGCTTTTTCAGTCGAGAATGTAGTTGTTTAGATTGCATCTATGCAGTTTATTTATAAGGATAGTGGCTATTTCAAATATTTGTGAATTCAGAGATACAGCGCTTTGGCATCCATCAGCCTGTCATTCTGAGCAGAGTAAAGATGGTTGACGTTCTGCCACAAGATTGTGACTGAGACCGCATATTAAGCCCTTAGAGGAGAAAAACTATAAAAAGTGTCATTTCAAACTATAGCTGATCAAATCATTCTAAAATGGGTAAGTGACTTTCTAAGTCATTCTCTCTCTTTTGTATTTTGTATTGCTGTATTTATACCATAGACGTCTTGTAGTGTTTGCTTTGCTCTACCCTGTTTGGGGTTAATTATTGTGATATTTTAATTGCAACAGAGAAATACTAAATGTCTCTTGACTGATTGGCATTTCATGCTTTTCAGCCTTAACTTGAGCAAAATCACCTGTTTTGTCATCACTTTAGACATTTAGCTAGAGAATTATTCAAATACTAGCTCTAAAGTGATGTTGGTTAAATTAGCAACAGTTTCTGTTGTCAGCTGCAGATGTGAATGAATGGCAGAAGAAAGTAGTTTCTCATAAAAAAGAATATTTGGACTCTCCGTGTTTGATTTTCTTTTTTATATACATGATTATGCCATCGAACTGTATAAATGCATTTTCACACTTGTAACAGTGCGGTATGGCTGCCATATCACACTGCTACTCATGTGATATTGCATATATATATATATATATATATATATATATATATATATATATATATATATATATATATATATTAGTGCTGTCAATCTATTTAAAAAATTAACTAATTAATCACACTATTTTTTGAAAATTTATCGCGATTAATCGCATTTAAAGGACTGAAACTTGTAATTTTGGCTATTCAAATGGAAAATTAATGTAAACACAAGACAAAAACTATCCGGAGCGACTCCCTTCAGATTCAGCACGCATGATTGCGTTCATCAAATTTGCTTAAACTAAGCATTCTAAAGTATGGCTGTATTTCACAAGGATTCTGACACAACAACGCGAAGCATACGCTTTCGTTGCGTTTAAAGAGGAAACACTTCAAACTTAATGACACATTTGAGGGCTCATCTGACAGCTCGCTACTTCATTTTACTCTTACATGGACACCAATACTTCGATTTTTAATATCATTAAGATAAAACTCTTATTAAGAGTCTACCATGTAAGCAGCGATTTTTGATTATCTTAAAGGACCACAGAGTAACAAAATGCTGAGTTTTTTTCTTTCCTTTTGCCATGCGGTATCAAATTCCATTAAAATAGTTAAAGTTAAAGTCGAAAGTTAAAAATTACACCCCAAATTGCATGAAACTCTGGAGAGCCTGGTGATGCGACATTAATTGTTTTATACTGAAACTTGCCTTCAAAAAGCGCTTCCTTGGCCTTATCCATATTTCTTTGCATGTTGAACACACGTCGGCCACAACAGGAAATAAAGAAACCAGCAACTTCGTTAATTGTGTTAATTATTTTAACGGGTTAATTATTTTAAATTAATCGCATGCGTTAACACACCAATTTTGACAGCACTAATATATATATATATATATATATATATATATATATATATATATATATATATATATATATATATATATATATATATATATATATATACTTCAAGTAAAGATTAGCTTTGTTATGTTATTATTTTCTGTTTTACACGCGTTTATTCTCACAAATGTAATTCTATATAACTTCGTCATTTTTCAAATGGGCTTTTTTTTTTCAAGCAGGACATATCTTTATAAATAAGCTGTATATCTGAAGTCGTAAAAAAAAAAAAAAACTCATTTAACATGTAAATGACTATGGTTTTATGGTTTCAGTTAACTATAATTAAAGCAAGAATATCCGACCTTGAATTAACTTGGTTCACACCATTAAATTGCTTAATTAATTATTGGTAATAAATAATGAAGTTAAAGAAATTAAGAAATGCTATTATGAACATATTTAAGAATTAAGGAAAATAATGCATAACTTTATTTAAATTAAAAACATGTAATTATTATTTCTGATTATTATTTGACATATTAGAAAACTCTTCTTTCTTTCTTTCTTTCTTTCTTTCTTTCTTTCAGATTTTAATTTATGTATACTGTTAAGTCTGTATACAGTACAATATAAACATTCCTTTTCTCCCTAAGTTTATATATTTATATGCTTTAAATGAGATTGCTGTCTGTTAAATGGAATTCAATTTTTTTAATTTGCCCTAAAAGGCCTTTGTGTTCTTTAATTAAATGGCATTATTCTCTTAACAAACCCTCCATAACTCATTCAAAGTTGTTGTAATTATTATACATTTCACTAAATGGGTGAAGCTCTGTATGTAAATCGCCTGTTTTGCATATAAAATGCCTAAACGTCAATATTGTAGTGCAATAAATTGCTCAAAGTGAGAGTGCTGGCATAGCGCCTGAGGCAATCTGGGAGTTATTAAGTGGCTGAATGTGCTGGAGCCATTTCAAACCCCCTAATTTAATGATGGCCAGAGTATGATGGGAATTTACATGCAGCAAAAAGGAAAAAATAGACAAAGAGTATTGGGGGATGGGGAGGATTGGCAGAGAGGTCAGTGGTTTGGATCAAGACTCACGTATGAGGAGTAGACCAGGGTTACTACTGCAGCTGCCACCTCAGCAATGCAAATGATCAGGACGATGGAGAAGAACTGATGTATAGAAACAAAGAGAGTGAACTTACATAGAAAACTTTACAACATTATTTTTTATATGGAATTTGATATACAGTTGAAGTCAGAATTACTAGCCCACCTGGATTACTAGCCCCATGTATGTTCTTTTCTAAATTTCTGTTTAACAGAAAGATTTGTTCCACACATTTCTAAACTCATGTAGTTTTTAACAAATTTCTAATAATTGACTTTTATAAAAATCATGATCACAGAACATAATATTTTACTAGATTTATGTCAAGATGCCACTATTCAGCTTAAAGTGCAGTTTAAAAGCTTAACCAGATTAATAGGCAAATTAAGGTTATTAAGCAAGTCGTATTATAGCAATTGTTTGTTCTGTAGACAATTGAAGAAAACATTTGCTAAAGGGTGAATAACAATATTGACCTTACAATGGCTTCCAACTGAAAGAAAAACAAATAAGACTTTCTCCAGAAGAAAAAAAAAACTGAAATACTCTAAAAAAATTTCCTGCCCTGTTAAAAATAATTTGGAAAATATTTGAAAACTTCCAGGAGGGATAATAATTCTGACTTGTAAGTTTAAGAGATGGTTCACCAAAAAGTGATATTTTTCTTTCTATGGATATCAGTAGCTACTATCAATTTCAAAATATCTTATTTTTGTTTAAAGGGCACCTATTTGACCCCTTTTTTAAGATTTAAGATAAGTGTTTTGTGTCTTCAGAATGTGTCTGTTAAGTTTCAGCTCAAATTTTAGTACACCAATTATTTATTACATGTTTCAGAACATTGAAATTTACTGCTCTGAACACATTGTATCTGTTTTTGTTGCCTGTGTCTTTAATGCTAGAGGTCCCTGTCAACCGTTCCTTTATGCCTGTCAGTGTGTCTCTATTACCATCAGATAAAAAGCACAGTGACAGACATGAAGGAAGTGTATCTCACGTAAAGTTTGTGAGAAATACAACAGTCAGAATCCTAATGATTATTTTATGTATTTGTTGTGGAGTAAATTTAAAATTTTTGATAAGTCACACACAATGTCGTTAAAAAATTCCTGGACACACACACACATACACACACACACACACATACAACGTGTACATTTAACTTTGCACCTAATTAAACCTAATTTAAGCGTCCACATACTTGGATTGAATCGTATTCTATTATAATTGTACTGACATGCGGCTGTGGTAATAAAGATGGTAAAATTGCTGTAATTCATTGCAAACATGCACTGTTTTATAACATTTTAAACTTGTAAAACTCATTATTGATGATCACAGAGAGCTGAACAGATCTTTTTTTACAGTTGCTTTGCGCACGTCCTGTCTTGTTGATATGATTATACGTGTTACTACGTAGATATGTTGTTATGTGGCTGTCAATCAATTCGGTGGGCAGGGAAACCGCACTCCTACATCATGTTACAGTGGGCCTCAAAATGGGAGGAATTTAGATTTTATTTTAACCTCATTAAATTTAAAAAAATCCCTCCAATGATTGTGGAAACACTATACCTACACACATTTCTGTCCAACAGCTTCCAAAATAAGATTTTTATTATAGGTGCCCTTTAACAGAAAAACACTTCGAAAGGACTTGATTATTATTATTTTTTTTTTTTTTTGGGGTAAACTATCCCTTTAATTAAAGGAGTGCTCTTACCATTATAAGAAGGCATTTGCTCTCTTTTTGAGCTCCACAACATCCAATCATACCAAGCCATGTCATGACTGCGCCAATACAGATGCAGAAGATTCCCACATTGACGTGACTCCAGATCTTGTCATTAAAGGGTGGTAAAATGTTCATAAAGGAGTTTTCATACACAGTCGCCCATATCCCTACGGTAGCCACACATATGCCCGCCAGCTGTCAAAACATCACAACCTCAAATAATCAGATAATGGATAGAATAACTGTCTTCCCAATAACTGAAATTGTTTTGATGGGGTTCTGCTGCAGTACTCCTGATGTAAGGGTAACAAAAATCAGTTTTAGGGGCAATATTGCCCGCCAATTGGGGAAACCCAATAATATTTAAACACCTTTATTTCTATTGTGCTTTATACAGTGTAGATTGTGTCAAAGCTGGTTATATGGATGAATGAAAAAAGGATTAAAGCAGTATTTCAGTTTGTATGATATATTTAGCTTATTAAACAAGTAGCAGTGAAATGTAAATATACAACAGTTCATTCTGGTTCTAGAATCTGATTGGCTGAGAGGTCATTCTATTTGTGTCACCCCACGTTTAGCGTTCCTCACTGCGAGTGCCATGGCAGAAGAGTTAATTCACTATATTTAAACAAGTACTGTTGTTGTTGTTGTTGCATCACCAGTGTATTTTTACAGACTCTTTAGGTGAGAATGTAGTTGTTTAAACTTTGAACTGGCATATTATTTATGAGTGCAGCACTTGTTAGTTTATTTATTTTTTGATAATTTTGCATTCTGATGTGTGAGTCAGTTCTAGAGATTTTTATATTGAAAAGGCGCAACAAGTATTGTCATTGGAAAGCACTGTAACTGTTGAAAACTTACATAGCTTTTCTTAGTGGACATTCAAACTAATGCTTTATTGAGATGAGATTATTGGTTTTAAGATACGCTTGACTTAAAAGCCATGAACTTGAACTGCAGTTTGGCACTTTCACTTTCATTCAGTTACATTTGGCTTTGGTTTGATTAGGGGGTTTACATGTTTACATTCGGAGAGCAGCATTTATAGTGGATCTTTCAGTCCAAAATATTGTCGTGATATTAACGCACTTAGTAACTAAATAATTTTGACTAAGGTATGTCTTTAAAAACTAAAAGAGTACTGCTGACGACACTAACTAACTTTGTCATCTAAATAAACATAAACAAGATCACTGATCACACACTTACCAAATCCGTAGAGACAGGACAGTCAACTGATTTCCAACTGGAACCTCGTCCTTTTTTAAAAGAATTTGAGTGACAAATCCGGATTTTACCATTTCCAGATTCAAAAAGCTCAAAAAATGATCCTTATAAGCACATTTTTGTTGCTTGTTAGCAGACCACTTTAAACCACACATGTAGGTCCACATGCAATCAGTGCTCTCATCGTGGAAATCAAATTGGAAACAAAACCTTCATTGCGGCACATCTATAAACTCAACAATTCTTCTTTCACTTGTTTTAATTACGGTGGGCAACATAATGTGGTGTCTTTCTGCTGTCTGAACACTGTATCAGGTAAAAACAGTTTTAAAGCTATATCATGCATATTAATGAAGTTGCACCTCCTTCACAATAGACGGTCTGATTTTTCGGTCTGGAAGTCATTCTCATGAATTAATGCTGAAAACTCAATGACGTTACATTGTACAGGCACAGTGATCTCATCGCTGTGATGCAGCTTCAACATTTTTTTTTTTCAAACCGGAAGAATGAATTTGCTTAAAATAACGCAAAAACAAACAATTTTCACTTAAGTGAAATCTGTGTCCAAATACCGTTTTTAGCAACGTGGGAGACATGTATAACTGCCAACATCTCAAAAATGTGTTTTGGTGTTTCGTGACCCTTTAATACACACGTAGCTGTAGAGTACTGTAGGAATATACAGTACTCTACATATTGCAACTAGTCCTTTGTTACATTTTATGCGATGCTACATAGGCTTTTGCTCATCTGTTAAAACTGTCTACAAAACATTTGAATCTGTGGTAGAATTAAGGGTCTTTAAGACATACTGTGGTTGTTTCTTTTAATTTACACACTTTTGCCTTCAAAGTGTTGTATAGAGGCAATATCATAAGTCAACAGCTGGTGTTGGTTTAATTTTACACAATAATGCTAATACATTTTCTTTTGGAGATGATTGTTAAGTCAAATTGAATGTTTGGATAAATTCATTTGTATTATACAGTATGTGTCCGCATACTGTAATTAATTACAGAAAGAAAATCACTTAACAGCCCCTAATTAATACATGAACCACTTATAACACCAAGCACTTTTGCTCTGGTCAGCACTTTCATTTTCAATGTTCATTTAGACTTTAAAATACACCCATAATTATACAATGAATTTAGAAAAGTATATTATTTGAATATGAACAGGATCAAAGACATTAATGTGACCAGCAATTGTAGATTACAACATTTTGCTTCTTTCTCGCCAAACTGATCTGATACTCTGTAACCTAATGAGCAACACACATTATAGATTACCTATATATTTCAGTTCAAGAAACATCATCATACCTCATGCTCAAGTTATTTTGCTGTAATTTCCACACATAAAAGCAGTATGACCAGAAGCGAATATGTATCATTTGTTGTCTTGTGGATTCAGCTCATATCGTTTGCATTTTCCCATGACCTTTTTGTTCTCACCATTACGTTATACGAAAAAAAAGGCCCTGTATGGATTTCCTATTATTACAGGAGTGTACCTGAGTTATGTGTGCTCTGCCATAGAATAGGTCATTTGACAATGGCAATGGCTCAATAGAAAACTAAAGGGTGCCCTTAATGGCCACAAGCCTGCAGCATAAGGTGCTCGATTGCTCAATTATGTCACTTCCAGGACTTTTTCAGACAGTAGCCCTGACACATAACCAAGTCTGTTTATGGCATGGATCTCCTGGGGTGATGATGTATGCACAATATTTTTTGTCAATCTGTGTCTTCAGACGTAACACCATGGTTGCCTTATTTAACGGTGAGAACAGGTTTATTCATCGCCTATTTTAAGTGATGTCTCCAGGCAGAGCGAAATCAAAAGGTCTAAGCCCCAGAGCACACTTGGTGCTGGTTTGGGTTAATGAGCGGGATGGTGTCAGCATGTTAATTCACATTTGGTGGCATAACAATCTCTGAAACCTGATACGTTCTGTCAGACACAATCACGGCTGTCAGGGCAGCTCACATCCAACTGACAGCCGAACAAGAAACACTCAATAGCCCTTTCTGTCAACGCTTATATAATTTTTTTCCAACATGCGAGTCATTTTCATTTGATCAGTTCCCGTTTGTGCTCATGGAGCTTTGGGAATAGTTGGGATGCTTGATAATGGACAGCTTTTTATAATGGACACACCTCTACGCAAATAGATTGTGACATTACTTTAGACTTCTTTTCTTCAGAATTTGCTGCTGCTGTGCTATAATTATTTCTGGTGTGTGTGTTTTTTATTTTAAGTGAGTAATGCATTGATAAAATGCCACCATGCGTGGCGTAATATTGGAAATGATGTGTCAAAGGAAGATGCTCTTGAAGACATTACATGGGGAATCAGATTATGAGTAAGGGTAAGATAAGGAAATGAAATAGCACACTGAAATAAAACTGATTAGACTTGGGCAGGGGAGGAAAATGAGTTGGATTTCCATGGTATTACACGGGGAGTTACAGAGAACACTGTGCAAATTTGTGAAGAATAACCTGCATGAAGAATGTGCAGAATTATCTTCAGCTTCAGTTTAGTATTTAGAAAATTGAGAGCTGTCTTGGTGTGTGTGATCTGTTGCTTTGCTGGACTCACAATTCTGTCATCATTTGCTCATTCTTAAATTATTTTAAACCATCATGACTTTTATTCTATTAAACACTAAAAAAGCAGAACGGTGGTGAAGTGGGTAGTACAATCGCCTTACAGGAAGAAGGTCGCTGATTCGAGCCCCGGCTGGGTCAGTTGGCATTTCTGTGTGGAGTTTGCATGTTTTCCCGGTTCCCTCCAGGTGTTCCTGTTTCCCCCACAAGTCCAAAAAACATGTGGTACATGTGAATTGGGTAAGTAGTAGGGTAGTAGTAATTGGGTAACTGTCTGTAGTCTATGTGTGTGAATGATTATTCATGAGTGTTTCGCAGTGATGGGTTTCAACTGGAAGGGCATCCGCTGCGTAAAAGATATGCTGGATAAGTTTATGTTTCATTCCGCTGTTGCAACCCCAAATTAAAAAAGGGACTAAAGCAAAAAGAAAATTAATTAATTGAATATTTTGCTGCGTCTGAAATCGCATATGCCCATACTTTATAGTACACTAAAAACAGTATGCGTGCCCAGTAGTATGTCTAAATTCATAGCATTTGATAAACAGTATGCAAGAAGTACCCTGATGACATACAACTTCCGGCAAGATTATGAAGTGCACATCCAATGACACTATGCTATCCCATGGTGCCACATGAATTGACGCAACTGACGCAGGTACGTCCATTGATGATGAGAAATAGCAGATGTAGTGCGTCCGAGTTCCATTCATACTGCTCACTATCATACTGTATAGAACGTACTTTTCTAACAGTCATGTAGCACATTCAAAGTCAAATGTAGTATTCGAACGCAGCCTTGTTTTTCCTATTATGGAAGCCAATGATTACATGTTTTCAGCTTCCCTCAAAATATTTTCTTTTGTGTTAAACAAAAGAAAGAATCGTGTCTGAGTGGGTTTCCTCCTGGATTTCTGGTTTCCCCCCTGAGTTCAAAGACATGCTATATAAGTTAAGTGGATAAACTAAATTGGCCGTAGTGTGTGAATGGGAGAGTGTGTCTGTTTGCCAGCATTTAGAAATGCACTCCCTGCTGGGTTGCGGCTGGAAGGGTATGCGCAGTGTAAAAAAATTGCCAGAGTAATTGATGGTTCATTCTGCTGTTGTTACTACTGATAACGCAGAGAATAAGCTAACAGAAAGTGAGCGAGTGACTGATTGAGAAAAAAGAAGCTTATAAAGGTTTGAAAACACTTGAGGGTGAGTAAATATTGAGTACATTTTCATTTTTCACATCCATTTACCTGTACAGATCAAATCAATGTTGGGAACTGTTTGAGTGATATTCTATTATATATTACAATCAAGACGCATAGCCATTCAGACACAGCTTTGGAGGCTGT